ATTAGTATTAGGCTATTATATTTTTTAACATTGCATTCTTTATCTATATAGTTGCTTAGGAACTTTCAAGCACTAGAAGAATGAATAATAATATTATTCCAATCACACTATGCTCACCAGATCCATAACTGATGATGTGTTTTGCTCAATTCAGAGATCATCAAGCCAGAACAAAGACAGTAGTAGTCAGAACACTATTTATATAAGCCATTTTGTAATGCCATGAACACCTTTTTCAGTAAGCGTAATACTAATATTTTATGAAAAGTATAATTTTATAAGAAAAATACATACTCATACTCATAAATACAAGTTTTGAAAATGAGTTTTAAACTTTTTTGATACAGATAAAGTTTTCTTATACAAATGAGAGAAACATTCCTATATCAATTAAAAGTCCAGGCATCATCAGTTTTATTGTTAATTAAATTCCAAGCTATGAAATAATTTCCTCACAAATGTATACAAGTAAGATACATTAGAAACTAAATTTAATATTGTTTTAAACTAAAGGTAATTTCAAATAAATCAAATAATCAATAAAGCATATCTAACAGCCTTTTTTAAATTTATTACATTTTTTGAGTAATATGTTGATTATAAATCATTTTTTAAATTAACATTCAGCCATCACCTTTGTTCCAAATTTTTTTACCTAATTTAAGATTCATTTCTCAGCCAAACAAAGAAATTGACAATTATAAACTTACTTGGACAAAGGGCCAAGCTGGTTTCATCACTGTTATCCCCACAGTGGTTAATGTTGTCACAAGTTAAATCCTCAGATATACAGAAAGTGTTCAAGCACTGGAAATCTTGACATCCTACAGCTAAAGAAGTTAAAAGAGCCTTAGCTAAGACAAACTAAATTAACTATTTCAAGACCACACATATGTAAATCTGTTTTCAGTGCTTTGAAGTCTAAATTACCTTTGACTCTATAGAATATATTTTTAGTTAAGTTGATGGTTATACTTTTCTATATGTATGCAGTATTGAGAGCAAACAACAGATTAAAAATGCAGAACAAGTGTATTTTGACAAGAATTTTCTCAAAGCAGACTTTAGAGAAAGTGGAGAAAAAAGAAGAAAATAATTTATCGTACGAGATGTCTTGAAGGCAGTTATGACTAACTTGAAACCATTTCCGGATTTGCTCCACTCATCTGTAAGGTATTTCAAAGTGACGAAATTGCTCTGAGTGAAGATTGTGCCCACATTACCCCTGGTGCTACGGCAAGACAGGTGGGCCTAAAAGGAAAGAAAATGACTGCTTTATATATATACTTATATAACTAAAATCCTTGTTATTAAGGTTAGTTAATAGAAAAACAGAAAAAAGTGGAAAGTTTAGTTTAGAAAAGTTAAACTCAACCATTAAAATACTATATAGTTGAAGTCAACAGCAAGAGATCAAACTTCCAATAAGAAAATGTTGAATACATGTAAAAAAGCTTCATGCTTAAGAAATAGTAACAATATCTAAAAAAGACACGAGCTGATGAGCAAACTCCATGACACAATACATTTGAAAACACAAAACAGCTGAGTTACCCAAATAAGTAATAATTAACAAAACAATAATTAACAATTAATTATACATTATTTATTTCAAAATATACATATAACAAGAAAAGTTCACATACTCTGTTGCTAAACCTAACTACACCTAAAGAAAACTTACAATCTCATGAGCTAACTTCTGTCATCAGAAGGTGTCAGTATGACATGCTCATAAAGTTAGAATTACTTAAAATTAATTACCTTGTGGGTGCCATAGGCATTGTCTCCATCATACACAAAGAGATGGTCATTACAGTCCAGAGCTAGATGGTCAAATCGCAACATGAATTTTTGAAGAATGGAGTCTGTTTGGAATGTGATGACACATTTAAGATCATCTTCACTATCTGAGGTAAGCACAACTCCATCAATCTTCTTGTATAGTGGATGAAATATTTTTTGTCCACATAATGTAGATATGTGATCTATCAAAGAAAACAGATTACTAATCCTTTTAACTTGTGTATCTGTGCTTGAAATATACAAAATATACAAGGTAATATGCAAATTTTGTTACTATAATAATACTGTTGTAAAACTGTTTTTTGTGGGTGGGTTCTTTTAAATTATCTGTTACCAATCTCTTTTTTTTCTCCTTCACCAAATATAAAGTTGAAAAGAGAATCTGTGACACAGGGGCCTAATACATTCCTTGATTAGCCATACAATCTACTGTGGACTGCAGTTTTGCCTATTTAAGGCTCATCATCACAGCTTGGGTCAGCAAACCAAAGAAATATAGTTAGGCTTTTTATAATGGTGATATATCATTACATTATTCATACACCTAAATTAATTTAGGTTACCGTATGGCCCGGTATGGCCAGGTGGTTAGGGCGCACGATTCGCAATCTGAGGGTCATAAGTTCGAATCCCCGTCCCACCAAACATGCTCACCCTTTCAGCAATGGGGGCATTATAATGTGATGGTCAATCCCACTATTTATTAGTAAAAGAGTATCCCAAGAGTTGACAGTGGGTAGTGATGACTAGCTGCCTTCCCTCTACTCTTACACTGCTAAATTAGAGTCGGCTAGTGCAGATAGCCCTCGTGTAGCTTTGTGCAAAATTAAAACAAACAGGTTACTGTAGATTGGATGAAAAAGGACTCAAAACCCCATAAATATCTGGTGACAAACAATTCAAATTCCAGTTCACGTAACAAACACAAATTGCTTAATTTCCTCATTTAACATATCAACAAGCTTGAATTTATACAGTTATAAACTGTTGCAGACCTACATTAACCCTTTCACTGTGGCTGGGATATATATTTCCCAGCACACTGAGAGAATATACGTCCCAAACGTAGTGAAAGGATTAAAATAACATTTAAAACCTCTCTAACAATAATAGGACTGTAAAATGAACTGGTATGAAGTATCTCAATAAGTGTGACAGCAAACACAGGTCCAAATACTACATGAAAATACATTGACTGATTCAACTCTCTATCTTGAACTAATTATACATACTAATTCCTTGTCTGTCTTTCAATCCACTACTCTTGAAACAACTAACCCATATTTATAATCTAGCTTTGAATATACTAGAACACTTGACACTAAATCTTTAGACATTTCTAGGCCTACCTTAATGTCATCATTCACAATTTGTAACTCTCTCTAGCAAACAAACAAACTACATCGTTAAAAATACAACTCACAACACTGCCCTGTTCCTGGCTTGTCAAGTCTCTTGAACAATCCTAATACAAACAATGAAACACTAAACTAAATTTTCCATTCACCAAGTCTTTTTGGTAGTTTTCTTTTCCAAGGCCCATGATATACAGGTGGGATGATGCTTTGTTGTCAGTGGCTGACCTGTCACTTAGTGAGATATTCATGGGTAGTTTATCAGGTGAATCTACTGGCAGTTCTCCAACCTTGATGATCCTCTGGTGGTAGTACTGACAGGAATTCTAGGATCCTCCACAGGTTAAGGTTATGAGTACAAGTTCTTCTCTGAAGTTACTCAGTTAGCTATTTTCTAACCAATGTACTTCCAAAGATGATTACGCCCACTTAACAATGGAGTTTGTCCTCTTTCATGATGAGAAATGTTCAGCTATACCATGTCACCTTGATGGAATCGAGTTTTATCAGTATTTACAACGTAGCTACCTATCACAAGCTGGTACAAGTCTGTCCTTGACAAAGTTATGTATGGAATATTTATTCTTCATATTCAAGAGAGATTTTCCAACTTCATGTCATGCTGGGGTATTTGGTCTCATTACACCCAGTTACTAGGTAAAGAGTTATTGCTATTAACTCCTGATATGAGTATCTCACTTCTTGGTAGTATAATAGCTATCATTCCTGTTTCCACTGGACATTCAACCTTTGATTTAGCAATTGCTATATAGTGCACAAGGATTTCCTGGCCATAGACTATGAAGCTAGTCTGATCTATTATCCATGTCACTGCATGAAATAAGTCTCCAAAATGCATTTTACTTATATATCATAAGGCATAGAGAAGCTTCCTACAAAATAAGTGTAGTGTTACGCCTCCAGTCGTTAATTAATTTTCCGTAACTTTGTTCCGACGAAACTTTAACGACACAAGTCCTTTCTTAAATAAAACTGGTTTATTCTTTCCGAATACAACTTTACGATACATTTAATTTCAACAGTCACTCTATAACAACACTATAATTCACG